CTATCTGCTACTATCCCCCCCTCCCTTTTATCTAGCAGCGTGCTCCTCTACCATCTAGCCGTCTCCACGTGCGTTTATTTAGATGCTACACTAACTATCACTTCCTTTATCGTCTCCCAAATGTTATTCGCCGTCCACAACACACACACACACACACACACACACACACACACACACACACACACACACACACACACACACACACACAAATTTGGCTGCTGCTGTGCAGGAGGACGACGAGGCACCGTTCCAGGAGGGCGACTACCGCAAGCGGCGCGCACACAAGAACTTCAAGGCACACATCGACACAGAGAAGCTGGTGACAAAGTGCGGCAAGAAGACGCGCGGGAAACTGGGCACCTTTGTTGTGGCGTCGGGTCTCCCATATGGGATGGGGGAGGACACGTTCCACCCGCTGTTCCGCATGGCGTGGGAGCTGAAGGTGCCGGCGCTGCCCATCTACGGCTCGGAACAGTCGCTCGTGCCAACCATCCACGTCAAGGACCTGGCAAACATCGCACTGCACATCCTCGAGGGCCACGCGGAGTGAGTAGCTGTGTTGCGCCCGCGACAGGACTGGTTGTGGTGGTGGCGGAGACGGTGGCGGGGAATTGATAGCGGTGGTGATGGTACTGGGTGTTCAAGCGTGTGAGTGGATGCTGCGTATGCACCACACACACACACACACACACACACACACACACACACACACACACACACACACACACACACACACACACACACACACCACGCTCACCCCCTTTCCGGTCTGGGCTTCGTGTCTGCTGCAGAACGCGCTACATGCTTGCGATTGACGAGGGCCAGAGCACGATCAGGGAGCTGACTATGACGCTTGCCACGCGTCTTGGGCCCGGCACTGCCGTCGCTGTCACAGCAGAGGAGGCGTTTCTGGAGGAGGATGTCACCCAGGTTGAGTTTGACATGCTCACCGTCAACCTGCGCATGGAGCCCGCGAGCGTCGCCGACATGCCCTTTGAGGTGCGACACGTGACCTCTGTGTGTGTGTGTGTATGTATGTATGTGTTTGTGTGTTTGTGTGTGTGTGTGTGTGTATGTATGTATGTGTTTGTGTGTGTATGTATGTATGTGTGTGTGTGTGTGTGCGCGCGTTTGCATGCTTGCTGCGATACGATGTTCTCTCCCCCCCCCCCCCAATTTGCTGATGCTGACACTGCGCCCGCGGCTGCCCTGCCTTGCTTCTCAAACTTTTGGACTGCAGTGGGTGTCGCGTGAAGGATTCGTGGAAAACATTGACACGACAATCACTGAATACAAGAAGAAACGCAATTTGACGGTACGAACTTCACACGCGGCTGACTCTTGTCAATACACGTCGTGCGTGTGTGTGTGTGTGTGTGTGTGTTTTGTTGTTGCTGACAGATGCAACCAAAGTATATGTGCCTCGAGCTCACGAAGCATACTTTACCTTTCTCTCCACTCTCCACTCTTCATTCTCCCTGCCCACGCACAACCACAAAACACACATCAAACCATGCCCGTGAGCAGCCCGTGAAGATGTGCGTGCTTGGTCCTCCTGCGTGTGGCAAGACGGCCCTCGCTCGCATGCTGAGCGACATGTACAAGCTGCCGCGCATCGGCGCCGACACCGTTGTCCAGGACACCATTGAGGAGCTCAAGAGAAGCGCCGCCCGCCTTGAGTCTGCTGAAGAGGACGCAGACATGGAACAGGTGCAATGTAGTCGGTGTAGGAGTAGCAGCTGTGGGCGTTGTTGTCAGCGTTGTCCTTGTTGGTGGTGGTGGTGATGGTGGTGGCGTGGTGTGGTGTCCACGGTGTTTACGTATGTGCAAACAAAGCAGCACAAGCATGTTTGCACGCTGGTGTGTATTCGCACTGCAGTGTGCCCCTTGCAGCTGCATTCCACCTCACACGATAATCCCCAAAACACACACACACACACACACACACACACACACACACACACACACACACACACACACACACACACACACACACACACACACACACACACACAACAACAACAC